CGTCCTTGCCGTGTGTGTGCGCATCAGATATTGTTTTCAAATAAAAATCGGCTGGATTGCAATTTTGCGGTAACACGTAACCTAAACTGACAAACGAAGAACACATACAAAATATTAGTTATGACATTGAAATTGTCAACCTATCCTCCCACACAAAAGCTCACTTACTTGGTAAAAAACTGAAAAGCACGATCAGTGCTACCTTGATATACAACACGTCCCGCATCCATTAGTATAATGTGTGTGAAGAGTTCAAAGACAGCCGAACTCGGCTGGTGTATGGAACAGATGATAGCTTTCTTGTGTCGCCCATTGGGACTATTGTTAAGCACACCTAATGTGGGTATCTCCTTAATCGAGTCGAAAATATTCTCATCGGATTGCAGCACCTCCATTTCAATGGAATTACTGGTGCTTTGCTCACTGCTGCTGGGTGGCGTAACAAATGAGTCCTCGCCATATACCGAMGTGAGTGAATGCTTCGTAACGCGATGACGTGTACATAGATGACGTAGCGTTTTAATTACCGTGTATGCGCTGTAGCTATCCAAACCGGTGGTGGGTTCATCACAAAATATGAATGGTGGATCGGTGATAAGCTACAAGTGCGTAAATATTATCGTTTATTTTTGTACTCCATCTCTGACTCGTAAGCTGTATCTATGTAAATAGTATGTATACCTCTTCGGCCAGACTCAACCGTTTGCGCTCGCCACCCGAAAGCGATTGAATACGCGTATGGGTCGCATCTCGTAAGCCACAAGCGAGTAATAGGTCGTTGACACGTTGACGTTTCTGTGCTTTCGTCGTTTTACGATGCATTTTGAAGTGTGACTGTAGGGGTGGAGAGAGCATGTTTGTGTGAGAGAACAATAGCAACAGGTATTCACAATCCAATTAGTATGCGGTGAGCTTTTCACCAACTATATAGATATATGGTATGTGTATTCATATAGCATGTGTACAGTTTCACCCCCAGTTACTTACCATAAAATATAAATGCTCGTACGCTGTAAATGTTTTCACATTGATTTCAAATTGCGGTAAAAAGCTCGATATGCGCGTCATTTCATCTCGCCCCATGGCCACGCCATTCAATACAACTTCACCGGTTAAATTACCTCGCAAACGTTGSGATATGGCGGCAAGTAGTGTGGTCTTGCCGGCACCGCTGCAACCTAATATGGCAACTAAATTGCCAGTTTTCATATGGCCACTGACTATATTGAGATATTGTAAACAGTTAAATAAATTAGCACTGAGTTTCATAAATAATATTTAATTGTTTAGTAGTAAATAAAAATTCTTTATATATAATAATTCAATGCACTTATTTAACCGGAAAATTACTTCACAAATACTTACATATTTGATAAAATACCAAAATCATTCGAGGGAGTGACGTTAAAAACTAAAGGAGTTTCATAGGAGAGATAAAAAAAGTCGTAAAATATATTTCATTACCAAAAATAGAAGAAAAAGTGACGCAGGTGAAATTAAAATATTTCTGTTTCACAAGGTCTTTGAAATAGAATTCCTAAAGACTTCGACAAGGAATTTTTTTCGATWACAACTATTTGAAAAAAWAAAAAAAATTTCGCGAAATTTTCACTGAAATTTTAATTTTTTTGTAAAAATGTCTGCCAAAAATCCGATTTTCAATTTTTTTTCCTTCGTCCAAATTCTAAGTTGAGGTTTTAATTAGAACTCATATTTTTTCACTTTAGATGATCCTATAAGGGGTTATCCTGCCAACGCGGACGCACCTTTCTTCGGAGGGGTCACCGGAAATGGCGTCGCAATGGGCGAGTTTAAAATATTTTTTTTTTTTAGAAATTTCAGAATTTCTTTGTTGTTTTGTAGCAATAAAAAATTCGAATGAAGTATTTAATTTTTTATATGAGAAAAAACATTTTGAAGAAGGTTATTTTTCACCCGAGGAAACCCATGTAAGCCCTTAAGCTATTTTCTAAAAGTATAAGTCAGTAAGCCAACATTATGGGCATATGACAATTCAGCTAAGCCATCTGGCCTATACCTGATACTACTACTTCTAACTCAAAACTTGCAGCCCTAAATGTATGCTACAAAAATGGCACGGTTTGGTAAAACATACCATTTTCTGAAAAAAATGTTGGGTAGTATACAAAAGAAGAGATTATAATTTTAATTCCATAAATAGACTACTGGATTATTTAATACTTTGTATAAAGCTTTTAGATACGTAAGAACTTGAGCCTGTATTAAAAAAAATATATACAAATTTGAGATTGCTACTGTTTTATATATTTCACAAAACACTTTCTTAGATAAAATTAATTTAAGATATTAATAAATATACCGTTTACTTTAAACTCACCGTCTTTAAGTATGCGTAGTTCCTTAACCTTTCGGCACTCTTGCCAAAATGTATAATTACTTTGTTCATTCGATGGCACATGATAATTGAGGTTCTTCCACTCCAAACACAAATTACTCGGAATTTCGTACATTTTGGAAGTTCAAGTAACTTTTTTGTCACAATATCAAGAATATTCATATATTTAATTCAAAGCGTTCGACACTTTATGGAAGAAACGTGTTTTAGTTTACGATGATCACTTTTCAAAACTTAACATATGCTTTTATAAACAACTTATTTATCTAAAGAATTTGTCTCACTCTAAAAACTAAATTTATATCCAAACACTTGCTTATCAGCTGCACTTTCTTATCTTTGAACTCAATTTAGAAGTCTCCACAACAGACTGCAGACACTTTGGACAGCTCAACTCACACCTGCAGCATCACTGATTGCCTAACAACTTGAATGGATTTTGATGGATGTGAAAAATACTTTTTCCTTTGTTGTAAATAAATATCACAACAGTGCAATGAAATGTATACTTGTAGATGACTTTTGGACTACTATTGTTTTATATGAAAATTTTATCAAATGTAATTGCGACTTCTTGCCGCGAACGTCAGCCAACAACTGATTGTAAGAAGGAATGAGGTTATCAGTGGTGTATGAAAATGTATCTAGGTTATAATCTGTGAGTAAGAAGCTAACAGAATATTTAGATTTAGCTGCTAACGTATGCAAGCCCACAATGTTGGTAAGTTAGTGCCGGTAGTCAGCTSTTAGTGGGTGTCTTAATTAAAGCGACTGGCGACGAATGCGTTGAGTGGGAGTTAAGTATTGAGTGGTTGATGAGTTCTGTTTTCGGCATGCAATGTTAAACTTACTGTCGTGTTTTTGGCAAGGAAATCGGCCGCCTTGGTAATCAAGGAGAACCACTAAGTTTCCATATCTAAGCAAAAGATCATATTAATTAGAATTATTTCACAACTATTACAGGTGGCGCATAAATTACCTTACGATATTTTTTGGAAAGTTAAAAACTTAAAAAAAAAATTATTACAGGTGGCGCATAAATTACCTTCCGATATTTTCTGGAAAATTAAAAACTTAAAACAAAATTGTTTAATTTTTTTACGTCAGATCGAGAATATGATATCATGTAAATGGCCGCCGCCACAGTTGATTGTCACTTCAGCCCTTTTTATGGCATTTTCCATCCCTTTGCCCAGAAGTTCCGGCAATAGGTCYTCACATTCTTGACGAATATTGTCTTTAAGAGCTGCAAGAGTCGGAGGCTTGTTAACATAAACCCGCGATTTCAAAAAGCCCCACAAAACGAAGTCTGGAGTGGTCAAATCAGGCGAGATAATCGAGTCTATGCAGAGGATGCTATGTTATATTGTATTGTTGGAAGACCCCTTTAGATCCACACTCGCTAAACAGCTTGTAGGTGTTCAAAGAGCGGCTCCCAGGGACATTACTGTGAAAGTATCTATCAAACTGCTCGACAGTGAGCATTTTTCACGGATGGATCAGGTAGATTGGAGGGGGAGGCTTCTGCCGGAAACTCCAATCAACTCTTATCTCAGGCTGTCACACCATTATAGTGTATTTCAAGCATAAGTGGCAGTTATGGAGGTAACAGCAAGTATACTTCTTAGAAATTCACCTTCTTTTAGGGMAGTATGCATCCACTCCGATGGCAGACCTGCCATACAGGCCTTAAGCTCACTAGCGGTAGCTTCAACCCCCTTCCATATTAGAAATGCCTGGGTGACTGGGAGCATTGGGATCGGTATGGAAACCATAAAATAGATTAGCTTGCATAAGAGTGCATCAAGATGGATGTAAACTGGTGTCTCCCTCTCCCTCTACGTGTATTCTGACGTTTTATCTATAGACCTAGCGCAAGCTCAGCAATCAACACTTGTGTGGTTGCGAGAGCTTKCTGTAAGCGTAGAACGCAAAAGGTMTGTTAAACGACTAGATCTTAGCAAGGTTCACATTGTCGCAGTTATATCTCTTCCATCCGGACACTGTGCATTGACACTCATGCGTTGAGACTAAGATTTTAGACAATGTCACTTGTCAAAGTTGTAGAGAGGACTCCAGACTTTCCTTTCTACGAACCTGGCGAATAATTTAATGGCAGGCTTTGCCAATATGCGATTGTATTTTGCATCCATGCCTAGGAGTTCTCACCACTACTAACAGTCGTCCCTATCCTTCCAAGTGGGACTATTCGTCGCCTCAAGAATATCAGCCTATTGACCTAATCTAACTTGAAGACACTAATTGAGAAGCAAATATTGAGCAAACTATGATGAAATTGTTTAATTTTTCAATCAGTGTATAATTAAGTATTATAGTGTGTAGATATTGTATTATAGATATCATTTGCGAGCATAGCAGCTAGACGAGGTGTATTTCCAGCCTTAACATATTTGTGGTTTTGAACCCAATAAATGAAATTAAATCCATTATTAATAAGTATTGTTACGCAAATAGAATGTAGATAATATAACTAAAAAAACTTGTTAGATACATTTCAAAAGCCGTGAAGCAACAAACACTACAAATTAAATTAACGAGAGTTTCATAACGCCGAAAGCAAAGCAAGTTCCTACGAGATCGATTTTCAAYTTTCCATATTCTCTCAGTTTAGATACTCGAATTCGGGTTTATCAATACTACCATCAGTTGGACCATTACAATCACTGGCACTACTGAGATTATCATYTTTTGACAAACTCTCATGTAACGCGATCAACTGCTGACGCTTTTTAACCAAACGAAAAGGAGTCTTTAACTTTTCCTGTACCAGTAAAATTTGATTTCCATTTCGCTTTCGTTTAAAATTGTATAAACTTTTTCCACAGACATTTCTTAAGCTAYGTAGTAACTCCACAATTGCCATTATCATGTGATAGGCGAGCACATAGCCAATACGAACSACAGATATTTGACTAAAACCAAAGAACAGCGCCAAAGTGCCGCCAAATGAGACTTAAAAATTATAAGTAAAATACATTTAATTTTTATGAAAAAATTTATAATATACACTCACCTAGTAAGTCTTCAAAACTAAAGACTACATCACGTCTCATACGCACTTTCGGCGGTATAACATCCCAACGGAAGCTGGATGTAGCCACATCTGTGATGGCGATTTCATCATTCATTTTAACGCCCCTTTATRTATACAGTTATAAATAGATTGCAAACAATCTACAATATTTATTAAAATACTTACTATATTTTAGACTTACCAATAGCTCTTTTTCACTGTCTGTACAGTGTATTCGATTTCTGTACATGTACTTGGACACTTGCAAATATGCAAKGCCCAAATGGGCCATTTGAAATCGAGCAGACACTCGAATCCGGCAGGATTACAACTGGGACCCTCTAGAAAATAGAATTTATGTATAACTTATCAAACCTTTTTTCGTAAATACATTATTGACACATTATAAAGTTGGACTCTTTCAAACAAAGCACAGAACTAATATAATAACCACAAAGCAACCAATCTCCTCGAAGACTTAAGACATGATTGGAAACTGCTTAGAAATCTACAACCATTTGGAATTTTTATTTGGATGCGTCGACATTCCAGAYAGAACCTTGACTCTTATAGACACAAAATTTCTAGACGAGTGAAAATCTCTCTCTTAAGAAGCTTMAAGCTGTTGGTTTGTTAATAATATGTAATTTTGCTGTTGTAATAATCACTTAATTCTCGTTAGAATGGTACTAATTAAGGTTGTCATCGATGTTATCCAACGGTAGGCCCAGGAAACGTGTTGGGTGGTKGTTTGACTCCAAGTACGCCGTTCACTGAGAGGGAGTCGATGAAGGTGTTAATGGCTAATGGCGATCAGTGCTTGTCGGAAGTTAGTTGCGTCCGAAGTTTGGTCGGCGTATTGTTTTATGATTTATGTCGTCGACGTAGTGACGAAAGGTGATGATTTCTGCGAAAGCACCCCTGCAGAAATTGCTTGGAGAAGAGTTTATTATGTTCCTTAACTGGGAGCATACAGGACTGTGTAGATATTCGAAGGGAGACTTCAAGAGGCATCCTGTTATAGTCCGGAGTGCATATATATATATATATATATATGATTATATGTTATACAATTTTGCTCGGATACTCTGGTTCGAGTATATTATTAAGAATGGTTGGACTTTTCATTTTAACAACTTAGACTTTTAAACATTTTCGTGATATAGATTACTTTGATAGGGATTGCCATACCTAAATCGTTTTTAAAACACATTGCTGTAAATCTGCAGCACCCACCCCTCATCTACGGCCACATCCACCATATATCTTTATATAACATACCCACAAAAGCATAGAAGAACGGTACACAGTTACACATTTCMAGAGCCATAACTGCGCGACAACGCACTAAACAAAGGGTTTTGCTGTAAACCTGGAAATATTGTTTTAAAGCCAAAAATTTAAGTGAAACTTGGACGTATATAGTCTATAACCTATTATAAGATTACCTTTAGTTGTGATGTCTCTTCGTCGTAAAACACACACTTCCTTTGGTCTACTTGTAGATCACGCAAATTATTCGACGCGCTACAARCAGAGTATAAGTAAACTTTTCGAAAATATGGCAACGTTTACTTACACTGTTTCGAGCACTTTAAAGGAAGCGGTAATCTCATCCGATTTGTGTAAGGCTATAATATTCACATCGCTTGCGGAAACCTCAAATGGTGAATGGATATCGACCTTGTACAAAGAAAGCAAAAAAAATTAAGGCTTCAAACGAACAAGGCTATATGTGGCTATACATACCGTTCCTGTACTTTCGTATAAGTCCATTTTGATGAAACACAGCTGCTTGCCATACTCGCAGGTAAGTGGTTGAATAACATCCTTGTACTCAATATTTCTAAATTGGCGGGCATAAAATTTACAAATTAAAATAATTATTAACTTTAATTGTAACTTACCTCCCAGCTAAGATTTCCGACATGGGTGAATTTATGGCATAACAGTATCCACGCTCTGTCATCACTGGTCTTATTTGTATTGTTGAATTTTTCTTGTCAAAGCTAGTCAAAGTTTGTTCGAAAGGTTTATCGATCGCATGCACCAATTTYGCCAGATCCACATTATCGAAACGTTCATCTTCTGCGAAACGCGCTAGATCCGCATAATTACTAGCCGTCGCATTAACCACGGCATAGAGAAAATCCATAAAGTAGAAATAATCATTATCCACAATGGAAATATTCCAGTTATCCTGTATATACTCATTCGCTTTGAATGAATCTATATGATCGTAATAGCAAAGCGTAACTGCTGGCAGCGGACCATGCCAACCGCGATAATCTCGTTCCACTGATATRACAGTCGGCGAATGTAAGTAACGTCTCACTTGAACGCCACTTAAACGTAAGGCGGCGAATGTGCACGCGAGCACTATGGCGACCCAGAGAAAACTGCAGCAAAGCTCTATAGTATCGAATATAATCAAGAGTTATGAATCGACCATTAATTACTTACCGCTCAAGGCAATGTAGTCTACGATTTGCTATCAAACTTATAGCCAGKATACCGGTTTCTTCACCGAGATCGGTGCCGAAATCATGAATCCTCTCTGCGATATAGGCACAGGCTTTACGCGAATACAAAYAGCAGTTAATCAATCCATGCCAGCATTTTACAAAGGGAAACTTTACTATTTGGTAGACACATTTACGTGACAAAGTGCAACGGCGCAACATATTATAATATGTAATGAATGACCACTGAAATATAAATGCTACGTTGCTTCGATTGAGTCCACAAACTAAGCGAAAATGAGCTCTTTTCCTGACCACTCACATATATTTTTTCCTTTGTTTTGCAAAACCTTCCATTACACCGTAATTGAAATCTCTTTATGTTATGAATGCGTTTACATTTAGATTACATTAAGATAGTCTGGTGAAGGCATTACTTTTAATGTTGTAYTTAGATATTATATAATTTTATATACAAGAGCATAAAATTTATTATATATATTATTTATTAGCATTGAATAATATGACTTATATAATCAGACAATTTTTTGGTGTATCTGTGATATTGAGATCCGTTAGTGTCGTAGTGCCCAAATCGATTTGTAGGAGAAAAATGAAATARTTGGTCACAGCGCCGACAATCTGTTCAAAATGGAGATAATAAGATCCAGATTAAATTTTTTAAACATATATTTTAATTATTAATATAATATTTGTAAAGAGAAATTATGGGAATTGGGGGGGGAAACCAGTAAACCGGAAGTAAAATTTAAGTTACTGTGAACCCTCGACTTAATTGCGGTTTCGGACCTCCCAGTAATATAAACTTTTGCAGAATGTTATACTATCACATAATTTCAGTGACATATTTCACATTTTTATCGATGAATGCAGAGAAAGAGTGAAGAAATTCTACCAAATTTACAAAAATGTATTTAGTTTAAGAGACTAAGAGAAAATATTGAACRCAATATGTTAATGTCACAAACCATAAAAACCACGCACAACAACGCCTGTTATAAAGCTGGGCTGTGGTCGGATTACTCTGTTATCGGATTTACAGATCGGAAGCGTAGTATATGATTGGAAAATAGTTAAGTATTATTCTATTTTGCTAAATGTCCCAACCAATGTTCGAGTGCCAACTTTATAAGGAATACAAGAATTTGAGTGGCACAAAGTATTCAGTTCGAAAAGTCGTTAGATAGTATAAAGCAAAATTTACGTTGAGTAGAGGCCAAAAGCTCCATAGGGATGGGGAAGGATATCTCCGAGCCGTTCAATACCAAACGAGGTTTCAGACAAGGCTGCCTTTCGCCCGACTTCTTCAATCTACTTTTGGTAGAAGGTACCGTCTTCTATAAGAGTGTATAGCTGCTGACATATAACGATGATATGGATAACATTTGCCTTTAGTTCTGCTTTCTCCAGATTGGATAAGGAAGCAAAGCAAATGGTTCTGGTAGTGAACGAGAGCAAGACGTAACATCTCCTGTCATCACAGAAWCATTCGTCGCATTTCGGCCCACGTCACTATTAACAATCATAACTTCGAAGTCGTAGATAATTTCGTCTATCTTGGAATCAGTATTAACACCATCAACAATGTCAGCCTCGAAATMMAACRCAGAATAACTCTTGCTGACAGGACTTGTGCGGAAGATTTATGGTTCGCATTCGATGGAATGATGAGCGAGTTATAGACATTGACATAGTTCAGCGAATTAAGACACAGCGGCTACGCTGGCTATAACCGCGTAAGCRGTGTATACGCCAGTAAAGAAGAAGAAGAGGTCGCAAAAGAGATGCTTGACAARTCACTACGTAAGATCCTAAAATGAGCCGAAAAATCCATCGCTTAAAGCGATCCTCACATTCTAGCATGAATGGGACAACTTTTTAACAAAACTTGAAGCGGGAGTCAGCACTCAGCCAGCCAAAGTCTGTTTTCGCAACTAAAAAAAACCGTATCAAGGAACTCGTAGTGAGTCCATGGAAGCCATTAAAAATCTTTCGCTGAAGGCACTACAAGCCATCCTTGCCGAAGCTTATAGCTACTGAATGGAAAAATAGACAGTGTAATGACTCAAAGGCTATTTGCATCACTACGTCTGAAAATTTCTGTTTTCTTTCTAGTTCAGGTAAATTTTTAACATATGGTATTATAAGTATATACTTACGCCGCATACCACCAATAAATCAAGTTCCACAACTCCACAGAGAAGCGCCGGAGACTGATGAACCATTAGCTTCAGTAAAAAGCGATTAATTGCACGTTCCATTTCTTTCGAGGTTATATGTAGTTGATTTAGTACAAATGACGTACGACACTTCTATAAAACATAGATATTTAGACTAAATAATACACAAAATAAAGGCTCACCTCCTCTATGATTGMATTATAAGCGGCTAAAATCAACAGTATGCGCGCAAGATGTATGAGAAACCAGAGCACTCGATTCTGGACCTCGAATAAAATGTCACCCAAAAAATTTTCCGTATCAAAAAACTTAAACACAGCAAARGATTGAACGGAAAGACTCAGCACAGAGCCAAAAAAAATCAGCAACATCGTAATTCCAAATACTCTAGTCAATCGWGTCATTATGGTGTCCAAAGCGAAGTATGTATTACGTATCGTATCTAAAATTTCATAACCGTTTACTGCTTCCTTACGTAAGCTTAGAAATTCACGCTGATACCATGAGATCTCAGTGGTATAGGCAGAATAGACCTCTTTACTGTTCAKTTCACATGTTTCTGAATTTATAAAACTGAAACGTTTTAGGCGTTGCTTTATAATCTCATTGAAACCCCGATAGAGTTGGTATACAACACGAAGTGCCAACCAAAATTGCGTGATATTGAAAGTTATGAGTATATTAGGGAAACTGAATACGCTTGAATTGAGTATGTATTTAGTAAAAAACGGATCCGAGCGTAGGTAATCCCCTAGGAAGCTAAATGATATAACACTGCTTACAGCACCCACCATTATCAGCAGTTCTTTATGGAGCACACGAAAAAATACGCTTCCAGTGCTCAACTTCGGTTGCAAGTCCCTATAGACCTTAAATATTCGGAGCAGCTCATACGGTATGTTGCGATATTCTTCGTTGTTATAATACATACTCAATACAATTGAGGTGACKATTAATGGATTGTTAATGAGTTCAGTTAAGAAAAATATTTTAACGATGGTAACCAATGGTTCATGTATCCGATTTATAAAGTGAAAGTTCACCACAGAAATGTAAAGTAAGACGATGGAACACCAAACGTAATGTACGCAACGTAATGCACGACAGTTACGGTGTGGAGTATCCAATATCGGTGCTGCAGCAAATAATTGACAAACAATGTAGAGTTTAGAGATGAGACCAAAAAATGGATCCTCAAAGCAGGATAAGAACCCCTTGTGCTCTTTAATTAGGCGTTTCTTCAAACCAACTGTTATTAACATGACGCTAAAAAGAAGAAGAGGGTATAATAAAATTTGTTATATAATCAATTAAAGACTTGCTATGGCAGTGGTTCAATATGTACTTAGCCTACAAGGAAAGGGCGGCTACAAGAGTAGAACGATAGGGACAACAACGAGTCGAAATTATTAAAATTTACTTCCGAAATTCGTAGTCTGTGGTCTCAACTTTAAGAGAGTCAACTTCGTATGAATATCGAACGTGAAATTGTAGCAGTATTATTTTTATGCTAGAAAACCGTCGAAAATTTGGTTAAACAAGTTCCACACCACCACAGTCACCAAATGTGAAAAACACGAACAATTGTGTAGAAGTTTGAAGCGGAAGAACACTTTTTCTTTCGCAAAATTATACTATTTTTTTTTGCAATTTCTATAACCGATTTGTCCTTCTCCAGCTATTCGATGTAGATCTCTTTTCGTAAATCCCAGAAATCAGTGCGCAACATATTTCCGTACACTTCGTCTTCTTGGTCACCGATCATCATACATGAAGAAGAGTCTACGTATACAGTACGTGCRTGCTAAGTACTTATYGGACCGCCTTCGTATAACACACTGAACCTATACCTTAGTCTTAGGAGTTACTAGTAATTGTTGGATGAAAAAAAATACTTTTAGTAATTGAGTAATTTAATAAGTAAAATGTAGACTCAAGAAAACGTYGTTGATCACCGACAGAGAGCTATGTTTTTCACTGTTTATATAGAAATAACACCCTTGGTCATGTAGCCACAAATGGTCATTGGAGGAAGAAGCTACTCTGTATAGGAAAAAAGTTATATAAACTATACAAATTGAGCTCGTGAAAATGTCGTTGATCCCCTATAGGAATATCAATATCGTGTCCACTATTTAAATAGAAAGTAGTACCTAACATAAACACTTGGCAACTTTTTGACACCGACCGACTAACTTTTCTTTACAATTTTTGTAATCACTTCTATAGTYTATTGTTGAACCGTGGCGCTTGGCTGTTGATAGCCAATTAAATGCCTTTGAGGACGAGTTAAGGCGTAATGATTTATAGTAAGTGTAGTACGCAAAGCACTTTCGAGCAAAACACATTAATTTTAATAAAGGTTTACACACATACAAAAGTACATATATATTCCGAAAATTGCTAATTAGAAGCGGTAATGTATAATTAAATGTTGGACAATTAGGCACTCAATTGTATTTAATTACACCCAAGTATTAATAAATATTTTTGGATTAGCGGCAATATCAGTTAAAGTTGAAACAATGAATTATAGAATTAATACTAAATTAAGTGAATTGTGATATATAGTACAAATTTTATATTTCAAATGCTTTTATGTATTTAAGGAACAAATTGCAATTTTAGCATCAAAGTGCATCCTAGATATAATAACATTTGCTTATTGTCACACGACAGATTGTAAATAAAATGAAAGAATAAAAAAAAAATTTATTTCTAAAATGCTTATTTATATTTAAATAAATTGGTTAAATATTTATTTTAATTGTTGTTGCCGCTCATCTTAGGTATCTTCGAAGGATCCTTGCTCAAATCAATCTGTATGAGAAACGTAATATATTGGCTTACGATGTTTAAAATCTGAAATAAATATAAGATTTCAATTTTTTATATAAATATATATGCACATGCATACATTCGGATTTATTTAATATAAATATGTGTAATTCATTTTAGTAATTTTTAATCAATAGAGCGAATCATGGCTGGCGATAATCATCTGCGTCTTCTTCAAAGGACTACACTATTCTAGATTAAAAAGAAAACGTTTTTTCTACCTAAAAGCTACTAAGACATCTTAAAAATAAAATATCGTTCTACCGTTCTAGCCTCAACTACCCCGCCGTTAGTTCTGCTTTCTCCAGACTGGATAAGAAGCGCAACAAATTGGTCTGGTAGTGAACGAGGGCAAGACAGAATATCTCCTATCATCAAAAAAACAGTCATCTCATTCRCGACTTGGCTCCCATGYCACTGTCGTAAATATTTTCGTTTATGTTGAAACCAGCATTAGCACCAACAACAATGTCAGTCTTGAAATTTTAYAAAGAATAACGCTTGTCAACAGGTGCTACTTCGGGCTGAGTAGGCARTTGAAAAGTAAAGACCTCTCCCGACCTAATACTACAAGGCACTCATCATACCCGTCCTGCTATATGGTGCAAAGGAATCAACGATGACAACATCTGATGAGTCGACGTTACGAGTTTTCGAGAGAAATGTGCCGCGGATGATTGATAGTCCTTTGCKCTTTGCCAACGGCGAACACTGAAGTCGATGGAACAATAATCTGTATGAGATATACGATGATATTGACATAGTTCAGCGAATTAAGAGACGGCGGCTACGCTGGCTAGGTCATGTCGTCCGAATGGACGAAAACACTCCAGCTCTGAAAGTATWCGATGCAGTACCCGCCGGGAGAAGTAGAGCAAGAGGAGACCTKCACTCTGTTGGAAAGACCAGATGGYGAAGGACCTGGCTACCCTTGGAATCTCCAATTGGCGCCAAACAGCGAAAATGAAGGAATGTGTGCTGTTGCAAACTCGGCTGTAGCACTGCAWGCGGTGTTTACGCCAAGAAGGAGAAGAACTTACTTCGACAAAGCATTTCCTATATTCCTGATTTAAATGTGTCGAGCTGGACAATTTAAACTGCGCGCGCAAATCGAATCGAAAAAATCGAAAAAGACTTTTCCATGATTGTTACAACCTTCGAAGCTGTCCAACAATCTAGCAAATAGCACTCCAAAAAGTAGCCAAAACCGAAAGCCGTAAAATTCGCGAAAGTACTGAAGGCCATCCCAACTGAGAATTATGGGAGGTATGTATACGGAAAATTTAATTAATTTCTATGCTCATTTGGCTCAAAAGAAGCCTATTTTGAAAGCGATAATAAATAATTGTAATAAAATACGCGCTTTGTTGTTATTCGAACTTCATCAGATACCACGAGGTATATAATTTTTCCTACTTACCCCTGTAAATARCATTAAGTTTAATTCAACTATTCCACACACTTTTTCTACGGGCTTACGTATCATCAGGTGTAGAAGAAAACGTTTTACCGCATGCTCCATCTCTTTCGATGTAATATAGAGCCCATTAAGCACAAATGCTGTGCGAGATTTCTGTGTGAAAAGAGTAAAAATTTTAAAAGATTCCATGTAATGAATTTCCCACGAACTACCTCATTCGTAATCGCATTATTTACAAACAGAATGATGAGCACCCGTACGAAATAGAGAAAATGCCATAGCAGTCGGATCCATTGTGGTGCTTCAAGGCTTTTGTATAGTTCAAATAAATGTATTGTAAAACCAACCATCGATCCTAGAAAGTTGAGCAACAGAATTGCGTCAAAAAAATTGGTCACTTGCACCAAAAGCTTATCCAAATCAGAGTATAACCGACGGAGACGCTCCAAAATCTCACAATTATCAAAATGTGTTCTAGAAAACTCACGCTTATACCAAGAATATGATCCGGCGTTCATAATGACTTCTTGCCTGTCCGGTGAGCTATTCAAATCTAGATGGTTTATKCGTTGCAGAAGCGTTTCATTTATGCGTTTATAAAGTAAATATGTGAAACGTAGAGCTAGCCAATATTGACCCAATTTAAGTAATATAAGGATATACGGTAGATTATAAGGACCAAAGAAGCGCAAAAATACATTTAGTTTATAATCGACTTTAACGAACACATAAACTTGAGGGATTATGATCAGAACTGAAATAACCACAGTGTAAAGGCATAATTCCTTGTAAAGCACTGACAAAATATTGTACTCAAAAGGCTGCTGCGGTAGTTCAAACGCTTTTAACTCCTTGAAGATTTGTAAAAATTTCTGGATTATTTCACGATAAGTAGATGCCGAATAAAAAGTGTTGAACACACAAAATGTAGATATGAGATTATCCACGACGATTTCGCTCGAGCTAAATATTGTATTGAATGTTATATGCGAATGGTCAATGTTTGCAATCAAATTCCAGCTGAAAACGTAAATGTATATTAGTATAACGGAAGCGTGGACGTAATGGAGGTGACGCAGTCGATTCAATTTTCGTTGTCTGGTTTTGGGTATCGGTGCCAAGCAGAATATCTGGCAGGTCACAGTGAGAGCGCGCATTAAACGCTCCAAAGTAAGCGTACGCATTTTGAGGTGGCGTTTGAAACTTTCAAGAGATTTTTGTATGGGAATTATCACAAAGCTGCAAAGAATATAGAAGATAACAATAGGCACAAGAGAATGTTAAATAATGTAAACTGCCTCGGATAGGATTTATTAAATCTAGTCATTGGATAAGTATTCATATTCGTAGTGCGCGAGTATTGATCTCCTACTATTCCTTTCCCTTCCTTCCCAATTTTTGTGCCAGACTCCAGTCAAATCGTTATGTCTTCTCAGAAGCTCTTGTCAGCTCGAAACGCGAAGAGAAGCCAAGTTCTTTCTGTTCGTACAAAAAATAAGACCTCCCGCTATTGATTAACAACAATAATTGTGCACTGTATTCCCAAGTTAGGTTCTTCGCACTAAATTGTTTTTAATTTCTAAGCTCCATCGACTAAAATATGTTTTTTAGAACCTCAGTKTGTAATTAATATGAAAATTTCAAGTCGTGAAAGCCTTTCAGCCCAACACCTGTCTATTTTAAAAACTACAAATTGAAAATGAAGCTTCTGGAAAAATTTGGGGAGAACCACAACTTCATTATTTCATGATTTCACTAATCAAATTAAACTGCGACTGCATAATTAAAACRACATCGCCTAATATAGGGTTTCTGGGCGTTTTTTTTTTTTTTACTTCAGCAGACAGTTATAATGTTCGGCACTACACTTCACTGGAGTTTATAATCAAAACTACATCTCTTAGTTAAGCGTATGCTTCTTTAAACAAATCTGACCTACCGATTTAATATTTCTACAAATTTTTGATAGATCACCGGTACCTTTAAAACCGTGATACTAACCACACYTCAGATACGTTACTATGCTATAATCTTACAATATTGAAGAACTGAATATTAATATGAAAAGGTAATGTTTTTATTGCTTAATAATTTGAAGTTTTAATGGACACGATAGAGGGAATAATAATTTGTATACTGCTTACGATTAATAGCACTAAGTGCATAATACTTGTATATTAAACTCTATTAAATACTATAACTAAAAAGTTATATATGCTATCCACATTGTTGATCTCCGTTCGGATGCTTTCAAGTATATATTCGAAGGRAATGTAGTTTTGATATATCAAGTTTAAAGTTTGGAAAATAGCAGCTTTTTATAAGGCAATCTTCTTCTTTATGGCGTAGMCACCGCTTAGACAATTATAGCCGAGTTAACAACAGCGCGTCAATCGTTTCTTCTTTTCGCAATTTGGCGCCAATTSGAGATACCAAGTGCAGCCAGGTCCTTCTYCATCTGATCTCTGAAACGAGTAGAGGTCTTCCTCTTCCTCTGCTTCCCCGGCGGGTACTGCGTCCAATACTGGAGTGTTTTCATCTACTCAGACAACATGATCTAGTCAACGTAGCCGTTGCTTTTTAATTCGCTGAACTATGTCAATGTCATAAGTGTTAGTATTCATGTATTTKTGTACTCTCGCAACAAAGTTGCTAAAGAGAGTATTATAGTTTTGTTCACATAACGGTTGTCTGTAAGTCCTAAAACTAAAAGAGTCAGATTTAGGGTTATATATACCAAAGTGATCAGGGTGACGAGTAGAGTTTGAAATCCGGATGTCTGTCCGTCCGTCTGTCCGTTCGTCCGTACAAGCTGTAACTTGAGTAAAAATTGAGATATCATGATGAAACTTGGTACAGGTATTTCTAGGCTCCATAGGAAGGTTCAGTTCGAAGATGGGCAAAATCGGMSCKCTGCCACGCCCACAAAGTGGCGAAAACCAAAAACTTATAAAGTGTCATAACTAAGCCATAAATGAAGATATTAAAGTGAGATTTGGCACAAAAGATCGCATTAGAGAGGGGCATATTCGGACGTAATTTTTTTGGAAAAGTGGGCGTGGACTCGCCCCCTACTAAGTTTTTTGTACATATCTCATAAACTACTATAGCTATGTCAACCAAACTCTACAGAGTCGTTTTCTTCAGGCATTTCCATATACAGTGCAAAAATGGAAGAAATCGGATAATAACCACGCCCACCTCCCATACAAAGGTTATGTTGAAAATCACTAACCGTGTGTTAACCGACTAATAAAAAACGTCAGAAACACTAAATTTTACGGAAGAAATGGCAGAGGGAAGCTACATCGAGGCTTTTTTTTAAATTTAAAATGGGCGTTGCGTCGCCCACTTATGGATCAAAAATCATATCTCAGGAACTACTCTACCGATTTCAGTGAAATTCGGTATATAATATTTTCTTAATACCCTGATGACATGTACGAAATATGGGTGAAATCGGTTCACAACCACGCCTTCTTCCAATATAATGCTATTTTGAATTCCATCTGATGCCTTCTATGTATAATATGTACATTAGGAACCAATGATGATTGTAGAAAATGTTCGTGATCGGAATATAACTTTTCAATACAATTAAAATAAATGAAAATACAATTCAATACTCAAAGTACACAAATTGATATAATCTAATTAGTTTTACAGCAAAATAAAAAAATATGTAAATGACGGATAATGAAATCTCGATTATCACTTTATCATGCGAGAGTATGAAATGTTCGGTGACACCCGAACTTAGCCCTTCCTTACTTGTTTTATATTTATTTCAGTATGTCGCGTAAGCTAAATAATAGACAAATCGAAGAATATTTGTTTGAAGATATTCCTTCAGATAGCGAGAGTATTTGTAGCGATGAGGATACAGAAGATCAACCAAATCCGCTTAGGCGATTCGATTGGAGAARTTCAAATGACTGATTATGACAACTTTGATTCCGATGATGACATCCCTCTGTCTAACTTAGTACTTCGGAATCCTGAATCTACAGAGTCTAACACTGTAAACTCAAACAGACCGGCTACAACGGCTACAAAATGGAAGAAGAATTATAGAATGGACATACTTGGTGAATAACCGATCAAATTCTTAGCATGGAGAATGTGCAACCTCTTCTACTATTTCGCCTTTTTTGGACAGAGCATTTACAAGATATTTTATGCTTTCAAACTAATCTTTACGTTACTCAATCAGGAAAGCTTTATACCACCCCCACCCACCACTACAGAAGAGCTTGATGTTTTTATTGCTATGAACTTGGTAATGGGCATAAAGAAATTGCCGAGCTACAGAGATTACTGGTCATCAGCACCTGATTTGCATGGCGGCTATGTATCGAGGTTCATAAGCTTCAATAGATTCAGTTGGCTTTTGAATTATTCACATGTAAATTACAATAGTCTAATGCCCAATAGAAATTACCCAAATTTTGACAAACTTTATAAAATTAGACCACTACTGGACATCATGCGAACTAATTTAAAACTTAAAACCATCAGAAAAAGTTGCGATTGATGAAAGTATGATAAAATTCAAAGGCCGAAAAAACCTACTAAACGAGGGTACAAGGTTTGGATGATGTGTGCATGGTCAGGTTATTGCCTAGATTTTGATGTTTGCACGGGAAGRCATTGTGCTAGCGTTGAAACTGACTTAGGTGGTAAAGTTGTAAGAAATTTTTGCGAAAATWCGAAACACAAAAATCATAAAGTCTATATTTGCAAATAGAAAGTTCTTKCCAACGCTAAAAGAAGACAAGCATTTGCAAAGAGGAGAACATGATTACCGGATGAGTGACAAAAAAAAATATATTTTTTGAAATGGAAAGATAAGAGATCAGTTTTCATGTTATCAAATTATCATGAACCTAAGGATGTCGGAAAAGTTACCCGCCGAGAACGTGATGGTACCAGTATTGAAGTATCATGTCCGGAATCAGTGAAGGATTACAATGCGAATATGAACTTCGTTGATAAATTCGATCAACTGAAAGGAAGTTATGCTGTTGATAGAAAATACCACAAGTGGGGGCACAGGATTTTCTTTCATTTTCTTGATTGCAGTATTGTCAATGCTTTTTTAATTTACGAAGAACTACAGTCCTCTTCATGCAGGGATCTAAGCCCTTTGACTTTGAAAGCATTCAGACGAAGCGTATACCAGGGTCTACTGGCCCCAGCATATGTCAAAGACAAACGTAGGCCCGAATCAGTGAACAGCAACCGCAATTCTATAGCTTCTTCTACAGGCCCTGTATTTATAAAACACACACAAGCCAACAGTCCCTTCAGAAATTCGTCTTGAATCCAGTCGCCATCAACATGAAAGAAGCACATCAAGAAGATGCTGTCTATGCAGCACTAAAATATTTCCAGTCCGTAGACGTAACCATGTGTTCCCAGTTGATCCTATATGTAAATCCAGTCATGAAAGGACCAGCCTTATACAAAAGCCAAAACCAGATAAAGACTGTTCTAAAAATTTGAAAAWGTCAGGCACATCAATTTAGAATAAACAAGAAATATGTGGATAGTTTGGAACTAAGTTGAGTAGGTGTCAGAAGCATTTATTCATATTCTTGAATTTTGTAACCTACCGACAATAACTCATTCCCTCGTCTAACATTGAGGTTAAGTACAACCCTACTATGGCCTATATAAATATAAAGCTGATAAGTTAAATACTGTAATGAAATTAGCGACATGTATTCATTAATCAAACTGTGTTCTACACGATTAATTGAAAACATTTAACGCAGACACTTCGTGCTACTTCGCTATCCTGTAARGAGTGCGTTTCGAGTTAGTTAGTTGTGTATTGTTCACGAAATGTTGCCGACGATAGTACACGGAAGTGCAAGCAAAGGAAAAATACAGCACCGTTCACATTTCTCACCGTCTGCTAAGCAGACCAGTGTCGATGGTTTGGAAACGCAGTTATATCGCGCAGTCCATTATTTTTTGTTGCTCTCTGAGATTTTTGTAAGCCTACCATATGACGCACATCAACATTTACCGATCGACCACAATAATAAGCATAGTATATGGCTTATATTGCACATCATTTGGGGCATTATTATTTATACCAGTCTCATCGTGGCCATATACAGCGAGTCCACGAAGATCAACATCGACTTGCCGACAATACATAAGCCGTTATATTTTGTCGAATATCTAATATACATATTGCATATATTTCTGATTATAACCAGCAGTTATTGGGGCCGTCACAAATGTCGCCGATTTTTGCATAGCATYGCTGAATTCGATTACACTTTAGTTGATTTTGAGAGACAAACGAAGTACGAACGTTTAACGTGCTTCTTGAAAGCTCATGTGGCTTTGGTAATTTTTTGTGTCTTTTGGACTGCCAGCGTCAATTACTTTTACAGCAATGGTATTTTTCTTAACTTCATACGAAGTCTCGTCGTCTATCTGTTGCCGAACTTAATATTGTCCATCTCACTCATACAATACTACACGCTTTTGTATGCTATCGCCCAACGCTCGAGACTTTTAAACGAATTACTACTCACAGAGCTTTCGCAAAAGAATAGCCCACGATTTGTAAATGAAAAGCTACAACGCATCCGATTGCTCAATTCAGCTTTACAAGTATTTACGAAGGAGGTGAATAATAGTTTTGCATTTTCGGTGGTCTTGGTATACATTGGATCCTTCACAAATGTGGCGGTGAATATTTTTTTGATCTACAAATATGTGGACGAGTGGAATACGTCAGCACTGTCGTCGGTTTTCTACTCGTTTGTTTGGACCATCATGCACATTGCTAAGATGTTTCTGATACTTTACTATAATCAGAGCATCCAGAATCAGGTAAAAATATAAATGGAGTTTAAGTTTTAAGGTAACAAATAGAAAACGCTTTCACTCTGATTATGTGTGATAAGAAAGATATCATCCGTTACAACAATAATACCAGAAATGGTAAAAGTATAGGTTACGATAGTTACATCGTTATTTCCTTTCTTTTTTTTTGGAGTAGATCGGGATGAACGAATTAATAGCCACCCCTTTCATTCCTTCGATGAAATTCGGCGATGTCTTTAAGATGCTGTCACGAATAAACAGTTCGGCTATTTTCTCTACTTACGCCACAGGTTTCAATTTCAAATACAAAATCCGACTCCCTGGCCTTCATTGCTTCAGTTTCCGCTGCATAACACTTGATAGTTGAATTTTCTTCGGGATACAAGTCGCTTCCGCTAGATGTCCTAGTGGCAAGGCTTAGCAYATACACGAACCTACATAAACTAAAATCGAAATGAGAAACGGAAGAATTTAAAGATATTGCCTCTAGTTATGACTATATTCGTGCGGACAGTACCATTACCCATTAACAGTTTCAACCGGTAATGGATCCATTTTTCATCACCAGTGATAATCTGGACAAAAAAGGATTTCTTTTTGCAGCGTTCAAACAATATTTCTGACATGCTATGTATATTTAATTTCAACGTCTCTTGGCTATAATTCACCCAATTTCCATGCTTTTGAATGTATCTGGCTGCTTTAAAACATACCATACAAAAATTGCTGTTTTTTTACCCTTTAGACTATTTACCGGAAGCCTTTTCTTATTATTAAAAACGAGATTTTAATTGTAATTTTTTTTATTTTTTTCAGAACAGTAATACAATCCTAATAATGAATGAAATTGGTGGCCAAAACACAGAAATGGAAGATACAGTTAGTTTCTTTATATTACTTTTGTTTTCTAAATATATTTTTGTTGTCCTCTTTTTATTTGCAGGTCACCCATTTTGTATTGCAGTTAACTATAAACACGCGAACAAATGTTGTCTGCGGAGTTGCCGAATTGAATCTCAAATTTATTACAACAGTGAGAAGCTCATTTAATACCTTACTTACATAAATATGTAATAGAGAATCTTTTTTTTAATATAGCTTATAACAGCCATGTCCACCGTATTCATATTTTTACTACAATATGACATAACTTACGAGGCGCTCAAGTTAACGCATAACTCGGTTAGTCCCTAGGCCAACGTTTGAACGCATATAATAAAGAACATAACGAACGTAACGAACGAAAATATATTCGCAACAATTTTCTAATGAATAATTTGCCTGAAGCATATTCGTGATAATAGTAAATTGATGATCTGGCAACACTTAATCAGCTGTTTAATAAACATTGCAATTTAACAAAAGTATTTCACGTGGAAATTGTTCGGATATTTATCTMTCACTTAATTGATATTGTATAAATAAATCAAATAAAGACAATTAAAAAATAAATTATTTAAGAATGTGTGAAGTCGAAACTATTACAAAAATCGCCAAAACTCTTGGTGTTCCAGCTGGTGAAGTGAAACTCAATGCTGAGAAGGTATACAACTTCTGACGCCTATTTAGCAATGAAAAGAAATTATATACAAAAATAATAATTTTTAGATCATTACTCGCACGAACAACAACAACACGATATCTGGTTTTGCCACTATTCTTAACACACTCGCACAAGAATCTAAATCAGAAATTGCACGCAACAGTACAGCGACACCGGAAATATCTGCGGACGTCTACCAATGGATTGAATTTGCTGTATTGTATGTGGCCCCTGGTTCCAAAGACAAACATATATCCCATCAACTACTACGTGATTTTAATAAACTATTCGCCACTAAATCCTACTTAGTAGGATATTTCATTACATTAGCGGACTTAGCAATATTTTATGCCATCTACAATTTGGTGGTAAGTTTTTTTGTTTTTAACCGTGTTTTTCAAATCTTATTAAAGTTGTAAGATTATCCCTTAATATCTAATATTAAATTTTGCAGAAATCTCTTTCACCGGTCGAAAAAGAAAATTATTTAAATCTCTCCCGTTGGTTTGACCATCTGCAACAGAGACCGGAAATACGTCAAGACGGTCAAGTGCTCAACTTCACCACAATTTACTTGCATGGTTGGGCGAAAGGCACACACATATAAATCTCCCACACGTCATGTTATTAAACTATTTATTTTCCCCCATGAATAACAATAACAACATACTATATATGAAAAATACTAAGTAGGAAAAAGTGTACGTATTTATTTGAAATCACTTAATGTATTACATACTAAAATATGCTCAATCAATATTTCTGTTCATTATTTTTTCTTAAGTAAAAAGCAATTTGGAATAAAATTCAGTATTTTGCCAGCTACTTAACAATTCCGTGAAGTAAATGCTATAATCAGTTCTTACGTTCTTCAAAAAATTTAAAGTTCTTAAATATTTCCAAATTTATTACAAATCATTTACTCTCAAATTCGTATAATAGGTTTGCAAAATATTTTCAGTTCAAAAATTGAAGAAAATAAATTTTAAACAGCATTAGAACCTTTTCACTCTTGATGCCGAAAAGGACTTTTCTTTTTTTTAGAATTTCACCTACATTYATCTTTACACATCAACGAACGAATACGTCTCTCTAATTGGCATGTACTTCGCGTGGTGAATTCATAGAATTATTCAATTCCCCCGGTTCGGTACACTTCCAGAGTCCATAGGTTTTACCCACAGTTGTCTGCCAGAGTCGCAATGTGCCATCTTCAGAGCCACTGGCATACAGCTCACCATCCGGGCTAAACTTCACCGAATGTACTGGACCAAAATGACCTTTAAAGGATTCTGTGAAGGCAGAATATACGCATAATGTTAGATATTTATTAATTTTGTGCACACYTTTCCATTAAGTACTCACCAATTTCATTACCAGTTATATAATCAAATTTGTACATCTTAAAATCTTCACCACCACATACAAACACATGTTTGTCGGGATGTAAACTAGCCGACGAMACATTAGTCGGCACTTTCACCTCTTTTAGCTTTTTCAACGTGTCCACTTCCCAGAAGCTGATGGTCGAACCATGTGTTATGGTTAGAATGTGATTATCAGCYGATATTTCTAAGCTATTTGGGTTGTGGGGAAACTGCAGTCGTTGTATCTCATTGCCAGTTAGACGATCCCACAAGCGTACGGTTTTATCTTCAGCTGCAGACAGTATACATTTATCGTCACGGCAAAATAGCGCACGTTTCAGAGCACCTGTATGACCAGCGTACAGTTCTGGTTCGGCATTCGGTTGCTCCAAATTGAATACACGCACCAATTTCTCATTGCTACCGGTGACAATATTCTCTGAGTTTGTATCGAATGCAACTGATTTCACAATATGCTTATGTTGGAAACTGTGAATTTCACCGCCCGTAACGGCATTCCAAACTTTTCCAGTAAAATCAGCAGCACCAGAAGCGGCCAATGTGGCATTCTTGTTCAACGCCACACCCCAGACGGCACCTTTGTGACCTTCGAATGTGCCCACCCAATCACCGGTGTCTCCTTGCCGCAGCATAGGGCTGCCATCTGCAGGAATCGAAATTATATAAGAAAAAATTAAATTTCAATAAAGGTGTTTTATTAACTAATGAAAATTAATTGCTGCTATTAAAACTTGCTATGCTGCTGGTAATGTAATTTTTAGAATAAAAAGTAAATAAACTAGAATTCTAAATACCACAACTACCCTATACCAAAATACAAAGAATATTCGACAAAACAGCTTGAACATTGCACTTTTTATAACCTACAAAGGAAAAAGCAGCAAGGCCAACCATATCGTTGAAATCCTGTCCAGCAAAACACGTCACAAAAAATGTTAATATAAATATAACGAAAAGTATAAATATGCGTGTATGTTTGTGCACACATATCTACATACATATATGCAATTTATAAATACATACATATGCTGCATTGCAAAAGTGGTAATGTACAAATAAAATGCAGCAAGCCGCAAAGCAGTAGACAATGTAWACTACAGCAAAATGTACAACAAACAAGCGACGACAAGCAAAAACAAAAAAAGCGGAAGCAACCTTGACTCAATGACTACATCAATGCCAACGACCTGAGTGCGACTCACTGGCTAGTGAGTCGATTACACGACTGGTATGCCAAACATGCAYTTGTACATTCATATATGTATGTATGCATGTGGAGTGTAGGCAGAGCAGCGCCAATGTATTGCCTCTATGTAAAATTGCATACGCAACTGCCTTTCCCGACTGAAATTCCTAATGTGCACTTACTATGTCGACGAAGGAAAAATGCACTTTATGAAAGTATAAATACAGTATATATGTACATATATGTATGTATGACACAATGATTTTCAGAAAAAAATAAATTTAATTATTTAAAGGTATGACGATTGTAGGCTACATTAGTGAAATGTATACTTAAAAMAAAGCGAAACTGTTGTTGTTCATACAGGAAGGAACAATGTTTTTTTATGCTGATGCTGTCATAGGATACTCAATACTTTACGTTGAACAGAATCTGCACAGATATATTTAACTTCTATTTATTTGTTACAACCTCGTAAGTGATTAAATCCACTTATCAATTTAAAAACATCGATTCTTTATTTTTCGTATATGTGTATCGAAAGTTTGAAATTGACTCCCGGAGATAGGAGTAYATTTGTAAGAATTTTTGGACTTAGAGTAATCGGCTTCGAAAACTTCAAACATGTTCTCTGGAAACGCTTCTCAGAGTATACAAGAATTTTTTTCTTAATAAATGCAGAGATAGATTTTCGTAGATATATGTATGTACATATATGTATATCAGGTAATAATGGAAAAAATATATACGATTTTTTATGTATACAGTTTTCAAAAAAATTACTAGTCCTTTTTTGGATTTGAAATAACTTAAGCATAGAATCTTTCTTGGGAGGTCCTCATGGAAATCGGATAAAGGGAACATAAATTTTATCGAAGTGCATCGCCGTTTATTAAAGTACATTAAACTTTATGTAATTTGTAAATGTAATTTTTTGTACTTATTCAAAAAAATGTGCAACTTCAAAAAAACAATTAAACAATTTTTTTTTTTCGAATATTAGTAAGACGATTTTGTTACAATAAGATCTGTTACATGTCCAACAAAATAATATACGGTAATTAATAATCGCAAATGTTTAATAAATATGTGCAAGAAATAAATAAAGGCAATGTTTACACGCCCCATGGTTCATTGCTATACTTTCGTATTTTCATGTTTTATATAAAAGCAATTGCCTTTGAAAAACTTTTTGCAGCTGCGCATTCGTCATTTGTTGTTATTTTAATAGCGTGCCGTTGGCAGTCGCACTGAAAATTTCGCGCACTTTGTTAATCGTGTAGACATTCTAAATCAAGGTGAACAGGCGTTTTTATAATAAATTATCTTTATTTATTGATGTGACTAGCTGCTTGATTGTCGGCTATTTAATTGCAATATTACATGAATTTTGCTGCTGCATAGAGAGCATAACTGTTACGCACAACAAAGGAACAAGTTTTATAGATTACACRCACAAATAATAATAAATACAATAGGAAATGCAAACAGAAAACTAATTTGAAATTGACTTCAGATCAGAAATGYGTTTAAATTTATTGTTCTACATACACGCGTAGTATAAATACACATATGTATGTACATATKTCGKATGCATTCTAAGGTTGTGATTTATGTAATATTAATAATACTAAATATTTGTCCACGTCTAGTAGCATTTCCCTATTCACCAACAAACTTCCTAAATAAATATGTTTTCTTCATTTTTTTAATAATAACGCATAGAGTGTCTTTATCAATTTAAACAAATAAATAGTAAAGCAAAGCATAGACAATGTAGTATGCTCCAACAATAATATAATTGATTACATGTAAAACAAAAAGAAAAAAATTGCACAAAACAAACAAGCGAATAGCAAAAAAATGGTAAAGCAAAAAAGCATGCGACTTCAAGGTGCTTCCCGTATGAGCAAAACACACAGCTAGCGGCGAAATACACCAACTATGAACGGCAAACGAAACAAGTTGCAGCGTAATGATGTGCAGCAAAACTTATACAGTGAGCAATGGAAACAATTTCGTAGAAATGTATTTTGCAAACTAGGGAAGTCAGAGGATCGTCGGAGGCCACGAACAGCGAGATACTTTTCAACTTATTTTGTTTGTTTTACAACGCGTAGAATTCAATTTTAA